CTAAATTTAGGGTTTGGTTTCTCGATTCATCTTTTTTTCTTTTTCTCGATCCTCGTGAAAATTAGGACATGCCATTCTTTTTTAGTTTGACATTTTGATTGGAAGCGAACAAAATGTCGCAACTAACATAGTCAATTGCTAGACTTTTTAGAAAATTTTTGTTTCAATTCTCTGAAATCTTCCATTTGTTCAAGCTTTGTAGGATCATCTAGTAAAGGTAGTGCAGAAATATTGGTCTAAAAATGAGATTTTTGAGTGCTCGTGTGATTTCGACTATAACAGGTGTTCCTCAACCCCCTTAGTTCATATTCACTGAAACTCCTTATTTAGTAAATTTGATTTAATTTGCCATAGTTGGGCTAGCTGAATTCAGCTTTATTGTATTTATATATTATAATTGCCTTGGTTTGGCTAGTTGAAGAATTTATGTCGTCACAAAGTCTTTGACCTGACAATCACAGTGGAGCAAACACCGAATTGCCAAGTACCCGATAAATGTCATGATTTGAATGTAATCTATTCATAAAGCTAGGGCTTTCGAGTTCCCTCTATAACCAATTGCTTTAGCGGAATAGCTTAACTTTATTGTATACATATATATATTCTGGGTATACAGATTCCATTTCTTAAGCTTGTCAAGGAGAATCTATTATAGTCCCGGTGTTTGTTATAGGTCAGAAAAATCTCATCGTTAGAGTTCAATTTCCAAGCAACTAACCGAAACCAGATTCAACTACTCGACCATTGTATCTGTGAAGATTATAATCATCATTGAACATCATTAACAGGAGTAGGAACCAATTAGCTTAGCAGTCTCATGTGCAAGTTGCCCCATTTTGTAAGCTCCTAACACATACCTGAATGCCAAACCCTTGATTGACTTTGCATGTAAGAAGAAAACTAGATCGGTCCCTTCAAGATAAGGGTATGAATTGTGGTGTATTTCTGGAGTAGGATCAAGGGATCCTTGTTTTGTAGGGGTTCAAACTTGTCATTTATCAAAGATTTACAATATCAATTATTAAAGAATTTTTTAATTAACTTGATATTCAAAGAATTTCAAAATTGCCAGTTTGATTCAATACTCATAATCCTTAAAATAACATAAGTTCATTCAAATATCCTTACAAGAAAGCTGGGAAAAGACAAAAAAACAAATTCCAACAAAAATAATCTCAACATAAGGTGCAGCTGAGGTGGATAAAAACCTTCACTTGTTCATCTAGAATATCCCATTATTCCTAGAAAGTTGGATGTCTAATTGGATTAGGGTCTTTACCCTTATTTGATCCCCATATCTCGATCATTTCTCGTGTCAAGACTCCCTTGTCAACGAGCTTTTCTATCTCCTCCATCAATGATATGCATTTATCAGTGGGATGGCCCAATGCTCCCAAATGAAAATCACAAGCACTATTCTGGTCATAGCCATAAGCAGAAGGGTTAGTCTTCATTTTCAAAGGCCTTGGGGTGATATTGACTCTTGATTAAAGGGGATAACAAGTCAGAAATGGGCACTTGAAAAACCTTGAGGGTCGTGTTTTTCCAAGACATCTTTTGTGGCCAGTCTCGGATTACTTCTCTTTTGATTTCCTTCTCATCATTTCCTATTTCCTTCTCATTTTTTAGCAAAAAAGAAGTCTCGAGAGTTGAATCCTTTAAATTTTCCCCACATACTTTACTCTCATTGTTTTTGCTCTTTTCTTTCTTCATGTCTTTTTATGTATGCTCTTCATTTGTTTTGACCCTATCAACTCTATTCTGGGGTCTGACTCCCAATTGCTTGATTAAAAATGACTGATTGTTAACATCCACCTCTATAACTCCATGAGCCAACAAATCTTATATTTTTCGTTTGAAGTTACCACAATTCTCAATAGAGTGTCCTCGGGTTTCGACATGATATTCACAAGAAACTTTCTCATTATACCAACTCGAATGAGGTGGTAACAGCGACTTAGCCAAACGTGGAGTAATCAATTGGACTTCGAGCAACTTGGAATATAATTTTCTGTATGAAGATGAAGAGAAACTGAGTTGAGGCTCTTTTGATTTCATTTTCTCTTTGACACATTTATGATCATCTTGAAGACATAATGAAGGATCATTGAGATATTCATTTTGAAGGTTCAACTTTTGACTAATGTCTTGTGGGAGACATTGGCTTGCAGATCCTCCCTCATTGATAAGTTTTAAACTTTTAGGGAGTTTATGTTTTCCATCTTCAAAGCATAACAACCCTTCAGTGATGAGGTTTTGAACCTTTAATCTCATAACCGCACAACTTTCCGTCGAGTGACTAAAATCTCCAGAATGATAACTACATGAATTTTTGACACCTTGCCAATCTGGACACAAATAAGTATTAGGCTTTAGATGAATAGGTGTTAGAAGGCCACTTTCAAAGAGAAATGGTAACAATTCTGAATATGACCCTTGAATCGGAATGAGAGGTATCCTCTTCTTTTCTTCTTGTTCTTTCTAGCCTTCTTTACTGGCATTTGAACTTCCTCTATGCCTCTCTTCTTTCTGTATGAATAGGTGTTACAAGTTGCTCTTGGAGTTTCTCGATTCTTTTAACACGTGTTGAAATCTCATTCATGGCTCTTATCTTTCCGTAGAAAGACCAAGTTGACTCCAATTTTTAATTTCTGCCATGGAATACTCTATAAATTACTCCCAAACTTTTATGTGTGGAAAAAATTGAAATGAATAAAATACGAATATGTACTATAAAAAATGCTTAAATGAATAGCATGCAAAATGTAATGATGTAAATGCAAATGCAAATTCAACGAAAGTGTTGATTCCAAAGTAATTGTCATAAAACAACTTCCAAAGAATATACAATGTCTCAATACACTGAGGTAGATGGAAACTACAAATCACGTTGTATTGCTCGACTTTTTCAATTTTAATCGAATATGCAGGAAACAATCTTGTTTTATCCTTGGCTTGATGAAAAAATTCCAATGTTTCGACTTCTTTTCTAGAAATGCATTTGTTGAGCGACCATATACGATTGACATCATCTACTGTCTCGTGTTGGTTATCATTGTTACTTGATGACTTTAAACATATTATTTCTTTTCGGTTAGTTGTATCAACATCGTCGTAGAGCCCTTGAAAAACTTGTTTTACTGCATCATTTGAGCTTCATGTATTTCAGCTTTACGTGCCTCTTCAATTATTTCCTGGAGCACCCTTATGGACCATTGATGCGTTTTTGCATTTCTATTCTACCTTTTCAATTGACATTGTCGTATTGAAAGCCTTCTAATGCGACTATTAACTCGGGGATCAATACCTTCTATGACATGATATGTATGAAACATGCGTTAATTTCAAGGTAATTATCTTAGAACAACTTTCAAAGAGCTCATAACGTCCCAACATGTCAAAGCAGATAAAATATTTATCCTTTCGTGTGATATTGTCGTTTCAAAAACCTTCTAATTTTGATAAATAACTCGGGTATTAACATGTTTATGCACAAAATAAAGCAACAAGATAAGGAAAATATGTTAGCAAAAATAATAATCAAAGAGAGGAAATGTATGTTAGTGAAATATGATATGATTAAATTCCACTGGTAAATGAACCATAAAATACAGTGAATAAAACACAACGCCCAAAATTGGTACCTATCGATTATATATGTCTCTAAATAATAAAAATCTAAGAGTTCAAATACATATTTAAATTACGATTTCATTATTCCGAATTCAACCATACAAAATTCTAAGGAAAAAAATTCTAAAGAAAAATATAAATATTCTTCTTATTTCCAATTAAAGAGAAAATACTCCCTAAAATACTTTAGGACGAATATTTCTCTTTCCAAATGAAATAAAATAAATAATAATTTTTCCTAAGAATTCAAATTAAAATAATTTTATTCAACCAAAGAAAGAATTAAATTCATTAATGTGAATTATTATTAGAAAAGATAAGTGATATTCAATAATTTAATAATGCTGATACTTAATCTCTAATAAAATTAGCAAATTGTCTCGATAAGTTTAAAATAGTGAATATTTTCCTTTTCCCTTCAAAAGTAATTAATTTTCAATGCATCCAATTTTTTTAGGTTTTTCTAGTGGGAATATTTATTTATTTATTTTAAAATATCGAAAAATGACATCTAGTTGTCTTAAGACTGTCCCTTCTTAATATTTTAAAATACATAAATACTACTCTTAATCCAATTATGTAATCGGTTAAGTTATGCTAATGAGGCTTTTAAACAAAATAAAATATGATACATTGAGCACTTAGAGGGAAAAAAGCACATGGATTAAAAGAACAATTTTAAATTTATTATTAACTTTATATTACTTTATAAATATATACATATTTCTAAATATTATATTAAACATAGAACATGATATTTATTCTAAAATATAATTAAAATAAAATATCTATATCATGCTATAATATTATATACAAAGTAATATATAATAATAATAATATAAACAAAATAAATATATAAAACATAAAACATACTTTAATGGTACCAATAAACAATATACATTTATATCTATTCATTACATGGTGATAAAAAATAATAAATAGTAACCTTAGTATCCTAAACATTAATAAACAAATACCATGGCATGAAACAAGAAAATAACCAAAACAGAAGCACTAGAATAGTAAATAAACCATAAATATAGGGACTAAAATGGAAAATCAAAAATAACAGTAGCCAAATTTCGCACAAAAAAACACATATAACAGAATACTAAATTAAAATAATACAAAACCATGCATCTAATTCGTAAATCTTAAAAAATAAAAGGAAATGATGACTAAATCACAAAACACGCTAAAATGTAAGAGACCTATAGCGTTATTTATCCTAAAAGTTACTAACACGCTGATCATATTAAACCTAAAGGACTAGTAAGGTGAGTAATCCTAAAACTAGTGGCCATAATGTAAAATACGTTAAAGGTCCAGGTACCTTAGCGTGGTTTACTCAAAAATGTTAAGATATCAACTCTTCCCCTTTACCAGATTCATTTTGCCCGTGGATTTCTAAACCCAAACTTTCATTTCCCTTTCCTCTTCTCCCTAACTCACGGTGGCTACCTATGCTCCGACCACCTCCATCGATGGTTGGGCTCTAACCCGAACGAAACTAAACCGGAATCCCAGCCCTCACCCATCTATATTCCGTCGAGAAAATCAACAAGGAAGGTAAGCACTCTTCTCTCCTTTTCTCTTTACTGTCTTTTTATGGAAACTACATGCATACATAAAAAAAATAAAAGGAACGAAGAGGATGAACCTTTTCTGCCAGGAAGAACTTTCTCTGTTTTTTTTGTTTGATTTCTCCAAAATCTCCTCTGTGTTGCATTTCAATCGGGTTTTTATAACCCATGGAAAAAAAATACATAGGCTTTAAATAAATTCTTAGATCTACTGTGGTGCTACTGTGTTGATGATGGAGCGTTTTTAATGCTCTAGATATTCCGGGATTTTGTCGAGCAAGTTTGGACCAGCGGTGACGGCTGAATCATGACATCTCTATGGTTAGGATTAGGTTAGGGTTCTGTTGGGGTATGAAAAATGGTGGTTACACGTACGAATCCTCAAAACGAAGGACAGTTCTTTGTGGGTATCCAACCGAAAGACTTCCTATTATTGGACGAAAACGGTGTATGGTTATCTTAACGACCTATCTCTCGAGTACGATTCAGTTTGGGAATGGGATACAAAGGCTTCCTGGCCAGCTCTCTCAGTATTACTTGCTTTAACTATCATTCTTCTGTTTTATAAATTGGGCTTTTCTTGGTTGTTCTTTGTGGTACTTAGTCGTTCTAGCTGTATAGTGTTCCTAATAAGAATATGATCTTTTATGTTTCTTATCATTGGCTTACGTCTGAACATTACTTACGCATCTCTCCTTGTTTTGGTCGGTAGGTGTCAACCGTGAACGATTAGCCTTGCTGGATTGTTGGTGATTGCCGCTAGCTGGCTAATTTTGCACTCGGTTGCGGTTACAGCTGTTGCCACATTGGGGATAAGCACATGGTGGTACATCTTGCTCTATTATCCTAAGATACTCATTCTTGATTCTGCTCGGAATTATTGTGTTTTATTTTCACTTTTTCTCTCCCCTCCCCCAAAACCAACACACTATCATCATCTACTTTTGAAGATAATTTTTCACTGGATTTTCTTGCAGCTGAACTAGAATAAACCATCTTTTGAAATTAAACCTACAAAGATAAAGCTTGGTTGATTCATGATGTGTGACCAATATCTACTGACTAAAAATAGGAGGTCGTAATGATCTTCATCTGAAAATGATTATGGGTTATAGTTTTTTACGGAGATAGTTACCTTGTACAGTCTGTTTGTCATAGCTTATATGGTTGATTCATGATGTGTGACCAATATCTGCTGTCTAAAAAAAAGGAGGTTGTGATGGTCTTCATCTGAAAATGATTATGGGACTTCACTCAGAGCTTTATCAACCATTATTTTCATGTCAGGCTCACAAGGAGATGACAGCTGAACGTCGAGAGAGGGTGATGAACGGTGTTGAAGATACATTTGGAATGAACAAGAATCAATAATTTTGCAAATTCTCTATTTGAATATAGAACGTAGATGTTTTATTTATGGCTTCTTGAATGAAGATGTTAATTTAACATCAGCCATCGTCATTACTATTTTTTCAAATTGATTTGCTTAACAATTTTGGATATTATTTAGTTCTTCCACATTAACAGGTCTGATATTCTTGTGCCAAAAAAAACACTTAAAATAATAAATGTTTTAAAAGAGCTATATATATAAATCATTTTATCCAACATTAATAGGGGTAGGGATAATGGTAATTGTGGGGACCAAGACAGGAAGTTAATATGTAGGCTGACTAAAATAAAAGTAATCGCAAGAATCATCGAATCAATTTCGGTTGGCAGCTACAAATTCCTATCGGCAATTGGCAAAACGAAGATTTAAACCAAGGCCATATTGAATAAAACAACAAACAATCAAGAGCTTGAGATTGGACTGCTCCATACCGCTTTCATCACTACTCATGTTATAGCTGCTCTAAAAGTAGCAGAAGGTAGAAACAGGAGAAAACAAAAGGTCTTCCGAGGTTTTAACTTTTTCTTTTATGATGATAACAATCTCGGTGAAGCATATGAAAGGCCGCGGACCTTCCCAACATAGCAACCTTACCTTTGGATATCGCACCAGCATCAGGATATCGTAAAGGAACACAATGCGGACATACTATACTGCCGTTTACGATTCAATTCATCCACCCCTTCGCCAAAGCCACTTTCCTGTTATTTGTGGGATTTCAAAATTATGCAGTCAAAAAATTCACACCTCGCTAGAAAGAGAAACAAAACATTGGGCTTGCAGAGAACACCACTATTTCCAATATCAACGTGTTATCATATTCTTTGAAACCCAGATATTCAGACAGAATCTTAGGCAACATTTAGCAGTTTCCAGTTTGACATACTACTTGTTTCCAGCCAAAAATAATAATGATTCAAGCACCAAGTTTCGAGATAAAGAGTTAATGCATCAAGCATGACCATTTCTAAAAAACCCTAAACCGACAGATTCCGACCTGATCTAATAAAATTTTTCTTTGAAATCAGGTTGCAGGGGGAACCATTTTTTTTAACTTTCAGGGTTTGGTATACCATTTATTTTTGGGGTCAGGTTTTGCTTCCACTATGTCAGGTTGGGGTCGTGCAAGTTAGTCTGCACCATTGCTATCTCTACCATTTCCCAGTTGTTCATGAATATGAAAACATCATACTGTTCTCAGTAGTAAGAAAGAAATATGAAGTATTTGGCAAAGCTAAACAAGCTATAAGCTAGCAGGTTGATCATTTTCAAAATCTAAAGGAGGAGATCACCAATACCAGTTATTTAGTGACAGCACGTCGCTTAGCCGGACAGTTCTTCTAGACAACCAGAAAATCAACCTCATCTGAGCTTTCCTCGTAAATTACAAAACCTGAATCTTGATACTCCTCATTACCGCTACCCTGATCACTATTGTAGCTGCTCTCTGATCATAAGCAATGAACCATCAGATGTATGACTACTCAGCTGGGATGGAAGACTGACCTCACTGTTAAGATCACTATCAAACATGTGGTCTATGTCAATGAAGCTGCAATGACAAGGAACTCAAGTAAAAAATGCAAATTTCATTTCCCAGCACCTTTCTAGTTGTTATCTTAAAATATTTATTTCAGAACAATGAAGACAACCACTAAATTCGTTTAAGGAAGACCATACCATCCGTCTGACGTAAACTCAGCCAGCAAACAAATATTTGGTCTTACTTCCAAAACCTGCTGTAAAGGAATAATGCTGCAGATTACACAAGGCAAGATATTAGTAAAACATACCTGAAGTTGCAAAAAGTCAATTCTGTAAGTCCACCATTACCCCTTAGCGTTAAGATGATGTGACCAGAAAGTGCCACGTGGCATAATAAGAACGTGCCACATAGTAATATTGTAAAAAAATGAGAGAAATTCAGAAAATGTCAAAAATAAGAAAATTCTCAAAAATTTTATACTTTTTTTTTTAATTTTATAATTAAAAATTCATAAAATTACAAAATGCATATACACTGTTTTTCTTTTTAAAAAATCTGATAATTTAAAGGGGGAATTTATTTACATATTTTTGGTTTTTTAACATAATAAATGTTTTTTGCACGTGGTGCTTTCTTTTGACCATGTCATCATAATGGGTAATAGAGAACTAAGGGCAATAACTTTTTGCAAATTCAAGGATAAACTGATAAAAGATTTCAAGTACCAAACCAAGAATAGTGGACGACTTTTGGAGCCTAATATATTTAACGCAAAACATAAAGCAATATCTAACAGTCTCAATAATTTAGTTACCTTGAGTTGTAAGATCTCTGATACCAATCACCTTCTGAAGCTAAACCTTCCCTGTTAGATATGTCCTAGGTGATGGAAGTAGTCAGGGCCAAAAGCATATCTAGCATAAACATGGATTATGAAAATGATAATCACTTGTCAATTTCACTCACAAGATGTTGAAGGAACTTAAAATCTCCATCAATAATTGCAGTCAAGAACCTAGCAACTTCGACCTGCACCAGAAATCAGACTGGAGAAATAGAGACAGAGACAGAGGGGAAGTTTTACTAGAGGGGAATAGATTGGGGGTTGGGTTCGGACCTCACCTCCTTGAGATGCATGCAGTCCCTTAAAATTAAAACCTCTAGTAGATTCCCACCACTTACACTTCCCAAATTCCTGATTAAAAGCAGGTAAAAATCTCATTCCGCACAAAATATAAGTTGAAAAACATTATTTAAAGGGATTCTCCTAGTTATGATTGAAAAGAGCAGAACAGACCTCAAAAATGTTCCAGTGATCGAGTAAGATGTTGAAAAATCGGCATACTTAAGTTTACGGAATCCCTGCAAGTAATATGAAGGACAACTTCTCAATTTACATTGAGGTCAAATTTATAACAGATATTTAGAGACCACTGCTAATTGCAAGTAAAATGAAGGACTAAACTTCTCAAATTTCATTCAGATCAAATTTATAACTAATATTTAAGACAGCTGCTCATTGCAACATAATCTAATAGAATCGCAACTCTTCCAGGCTTACAACACTGCCTCAACCAGAACTTAAGATATTTAAGCAACCCCATCCTTCCTAATACCTTCAGACCATCAAGATTAAATGTCAACCAGAACTTAACAACATGAAACAAGCGCATACCTACCGAAACAAGAATTCGGACTTTATAATCATGAATTTTAAAACCTCTCAGCGATAAAGAAGAAAGATTAGGACAATTGTTCACAATATCCACACAAGTTAGCGATTTCAAGCTGTCATCCCTCCCTGCATTATCATGACACTTTGAGAAGATGTGTTAAGAGCAGTTAAAAAGAGAAACTCAAGAAGAGAAATTGTACCTGTTTTGGAAGACTCAAAGAATAAACGCTCTATCAAGTGACAATTGGAGCTCACTGACATCAAAGTTTGTCTCAATTCAACATGACTGCGTAAAAAGGACGTTGATTGAACAATTTTTAAGGTTAAACAGAAAACATAATTAGCTACTCTGCTAAAACCATATTGTCTTGAGTACCACAAACAACTGCAAACCAAATAGTGCTGAAACTAACAAAACTCAATGATCAGACAATAATTACTTTTTTAATTAATAAAGAATGTTTTATTCAGTATTCACTCATTCAGCTATATCATCCAGCTGCAACAGCTTAATGCATTCTCAAGCCAACAGAGAAGAAAAGAAAGGGCAAAATGGTGGGGTGGAGAATGTAAAAACCAGCTTAGATAGCGAAACTTACAGGCCGACAATTTCTAAATCAAGTAATGAACGGCAGGCAGCTAATGCCATACAAAGTGATGTATTGTCCAGTCTTTCAATATTGTAAAGATGCAATCTCCTCAAAAGAGCCCTAACAATGTGAAAATAGCAAATGATAAGAATAAAAAGAACAAATTATCAAATAAATCACATTCTAACAAGGAATCGATGCATTCAATCATACCCAGCAGTGCCATTGTCCACACTTAATGGGTATAAGCAGGTCCTTGTAAGAATAAGTGATTCCTTCCCTTGCCTGGTCTTTTTCTCATTCCATGAAAAGCTAGATACATCTACAGAATTCTGGAAGATATAAACCAATGGTTCACATGAACCGGGCGAGGAAGTTGGGCCTGGTACTATTCCAAGTTTAAGCGATCTAAATAACCATTCAAAAGATAGTAATTAGCAAGAAAACATAACAACATAAACAACCACGTGCAAATAAATCAACTAGCGGATACTAACCCCTACTAATCCTTTCTCTAATAGATATAACATAAAGGAAACCACGAAAGCACCTTCTGAGTTACTAATCAATGAAGTTTTCAATTGATAAGAGGTAATAATACTTCTAAAATGCGAAAGGCAACTTAAGCATCGGCTTAAGATAATATATTATTTAGTTTAAAAAGAAAAATGAAAGGAAATCTTACCGGAACGATTTCCCAGCTCGTTGGATCACGGTGTAGACAACGGCATTATTAACCTTAGGCACGACTGTGGTAAGGTCAATATTCTCATAGCATAATGGATCCATAGCACACTTGTTAAACATCCAACACGTTGCCGCAGCGTGGCAAAGACTCTGCGAATCTAACATCGAAAACACCTACAATAAAGAAAAACATCATTACCAAAACAATATTTAAAAACAAAATCAACGGAGTGGATGAAAATGTGGAAGAATGGAGATATTTACCTTGATGGTGAGATCAGGAGAGAGGGCCCAGGCGGTGGAATTATGAAGCGAAGCACGTTTACGAGAGGAGCGATTGGCGGCACGGAGGAGGAGGGAACCGATACTTGAGCGCGATCGATGAGAAGAGCCTGATCGGCGTCGGAAGGAGTGGAATCGAGGAGGCGGTCGAAGGAAAGGTCGAGGGAAACAGGAGGGGAGGAATCGGCGAGAGAAAGGAAAGAGAGGAGGACATGATCCATCTGAGAGAAGCAAGAAGGGAGGTTAGGGTTTTCAGATGAGGAATGGCAAGGGCGTTTGGCCATGGAGCTTGTTGTTGGTGAAGGGAAGAGAGAGTATCCACAGCGATAGCAAGTGGCAGTGGGGGGTTTTTACTTAACTGACACCGTTTGATTT